ATCGACCTGCTTGATCTTGAGTTCATTGGAGTGTTATTCAACTTGAGATAGGCTACACCGTGACATGCTAGCTAAGTGGTGGATGCTTGATTTAGAGTTAGGAGTGTGTGGTCGCTGCTCGACATCGTCAAGATCGTTGTTAAAGGGTTCAAGGCAAGATGAATTGAAGCTCCGCTGCGCACCTTGGTCTGAATACTTACTGGCACAACGACTGCATACCTCCAAGAAAAGGTGAGGTAATGTCAAACGTTTCGTACTGATATATTGTAGATGTACAACACGCAAAACACACCTCAGGTAGAAGTCACTGTAAGTAGTTAAGACGTAGGTGAGGGTACCTCTAAGTTCGAGCTATCGTCGACGCCGGTGGTAATTTAAAGAGTCAGATTTCCGATACCATAGAAGTCGGCTGATATTTGATGGCTTCGACGTGGCTGAAACCTTAGGTACCCCCAGATTCTCAGCCATCTCTAAGCCATCGGAATTTTTGGACAACACGCAGTGTTTAGACACGAGTACTTACATACATCAAACGCTCCTTTTTTAGACGGGCTGTTGTCCCGCCACGTTCCTTTCTTTCTAGAAATTCAATTACCCTCTTCTATCTATATTGTAGAAATTAACGCGTTAACGCCCAAACTTCTTCTCCTTGTTCCGTGTTGGTGAGCTACCGCCGCAGACTTGTAGAACGCTCTTTTCTAAAGGATTTCCACTTATTCCCAGCTAGTCGTTGACAGGCACATTGTGAAGTTTGGAAGGAAGATCACGGTGCGTCATTTTTGCGTATGGTAAATTAGGTGAAGCGAACTAGATGTTCTTGTTCTGACAGACTAACCTTTATGATGAATGGAGACCCTTCTACATCGACTACAATTTGTTGAAACGTGAACTCAAGGTAAATCCTTCTCCAAACTGCTCGAGCCACACTCATCCACTCTATCTGGGTAGTCTCGCACCACCTCTCACAGCTGGGACGACAAAGATGAACGTGATTTCACCGCCATGCTGAAACAGGAGCTCGATAAAGTTTTATGATTTGCAGAAACAAAAGGTAAATAATCAAAGTTCAGTTCATTCCTCTGCTTCAGCTGACGCTGTCCAGACCGCCGAGTTATCTCGCCGTATACGGGATGCTGAAAAGGACGTTCAAAAACTCGTCGCTCAAGAATCTTCTCCATCTTCATCCGAGGCGCTCCACGCCCATTCCTCTGACCCAGGATCGCATCGAGCACGCCCTTCGGACTATGGACCCGACAAGGGCTCCGATGATGATGATGATTGTCGATAACCAATCTGATACCTCACTCGAAGACCTCTTTCACAGCCTTCAAGAAGAAGCCGCTATCCTCGTAGCAGATGTTCACGATTTGGCATTGTACACTAAGTTAGATATCACTGGTTTTCTTAAAATTTCAAAGGTACGTCCATTCATGCCTCTCGCCTTATACCAATTCACCAGTCATCGCCATAGAAACACGATGTGCGTTTTCTGAATTTCCTGATGTGTCATCCTTGATCTAAAATCACAAATTTTCTGCTGAAACCTACGTTTATTCAACACTATCTTGAGCCCTTCTATAAATACAATTGGGACATCTTGATCGTCAAGTTATCCAAGCTCTATGACCTGGTCCGCACTCGAGGATATCCTGTACAGGGCGATTCAAGCGCAGGGGAACCAAAGCGCCTTTGTACGTCAGACGACAAAGTATTGGGTAATAAATATTTTTCTTATCACGTTTATGTTTACTAACTAGTCAATTTTAGGTGCATCCAGATAACCTGGTTCCACTAAAACTGGCTATTTTACGACATCTACCCGTTCTCGGTTAGTGGGAGTGCATTTTGGTACTTGTTTCGATTTATCTCTCTTTATAGTCTTCAATGCCGAAAAGGAATTCGAACAGAAGGATGCTGGTACGTTTTTGATTCCGAATCATCACAGGATGTATTGTCGACGCTTTTTGCAGCCATTACTTTGACATACTTCGACAATGAAGATCTTGAACTTCACCTCGGTCGACTGGAGAAGACAGAGGGTGCTGAAGCTATCCGTCTCCGGTGGTACGGTGATACAGACGTGAAAACGGCCAGTGTGCTTGACTTTATTTGTGGAGCTCACTGAACATCATCCCTCAGATTTTCGTGGAGCGTCAGACCCACAGGGAAGACTGGACAGGTGAAAAGTCCGTCAAGGCGCGTTTTCTGATCAAAGAAAATCTCGTGAACACTTTTCTGCGTGGAGAATATACCATGGATGCGGAGCTCCAGGCTCTAGTTGAAAAAGGCAAGAAGACACGAGCCGAAGTCGATTCCATGATTCAGCTTGCAAGCGAAGTTCAGTATTGTGTTCTTACGAAGCAGCTCCAAGGCACTTGTTCATGTTCTAGGAGGCACAGACCTTCGAGGTAACGATACCACGGAAGAACATCGGATAAGGGCGCTGGAAGCTGCCACAGCGCGTCTTAGGAACGAAGAACTAGAGCGGAGCTGCGGGACTTCTGGACCGCAGAAGCAATCTGGTTGATAGTTGAGTTAATGGTAACTACATATTTCAGGCTAGGGATGGTGGTTTGAATCTAATGATAATTTACTTCTGGGCTAGTATACGGGGTCAGACAATGACAGTCGTGCATTGGCGCCCAATGAATTAAGCATTCCTTATAGCAAACATCACTCGCATAACGTATAGACGTTGCTGACTGGGTTTGCATGTATGAATATGCGCTCCTTCAGAAGCTGGTTGAACACCTGGCGATGCAATATGTCATTGCTGGTATACTGTGGCAAGTGCAGCCAAGACCCGTGTGTCTGGATTCCCCACTAGAATCAAATTCTGATTGTCGACAATATGTTCCGTAGAAGTTGCACTAGCAGCCGGTTTCTGGGTAGCCAGTCTGTGAACGGGAGAGACAGTTGAAACGAGCACAAGGACAACATCATGCATATGCCATCGTGCATGGGCACTTCTGTGGTCTTCAAGCCTTCAAGCTTCAGGACTCAGTGATTCATAGTGAATCATACTATCTAGTGCAGAGGCATGATTCCCCGTACCTAGTAGTAGTAGAAGAGTTTTTGCGAAAAGTTTCACGGTTGTCGCCGTCCGGGTCAGCCGCGAACCTCATTGGGGTCGGCTCCCTTGTTTCCTTGTCTTTACCATTACAGGCTTCCAGCTTCTAGTTCTGTCGCTTGTGCTGCATCTCGACCACCTCTGCATCGCTTCTTATTTTAGATCGAGAGCTGCAGGTGACCGGTGATGGGGCAACTGTTGTGTCTGTACCCCTCGTAGGTTTTTTTTTCCGCATGTCACAGTGTATGCTAATCTTCATTCAAGAGCAATTTGTTCACCAAATCAAGCTACTGCTCTTACATGTATTTTCCCGTTATCAACCTCGTTATTTATCAAGCCGAAACCAAAATATAACTCAACGACTCAGTTACTTTTCTACTCACAATCACGACCTCCATGGGAGCACGCCGTGATACGACATGTCCGCACAAGCCAACATGTAAAGTTTGAATCTGAATTGTCAACCCTGTTAATACCTTCACATACCGTCTTTTCATTTCATGCCTCTATAATGCTGTCCAAAGGTGTAGTCCATACATCACTCCGATCTTCTGCTTAATGTACATTTATACTTTTTGAATGTCAATATTGTTGCTGCGGAGACTATCTTGATTTCCACAGAAGCCGTTCTTCAGATTCTTCTCCAGTCTCATTAGCGACCTGCACTCCATCGCAGAACATCTAGGCTCAGCTTATTTCTCTCTGCTGATCGCCATCAGGTAAACCATTCTCCAGTTGTTATTTTTATCATCGCTCACAGTATCGCAGTGACACTTTCAGTTCTCTGCAACCCACTTACTTTCCTGGGTTCGCATTCTCTTGGCTCTGTCTTGTTTCACATCGACTCTTCATGCCAAAACTGCTGCTATCCGAAAACCGGAGGTGAGATTATAATTCAATATTAGAGGACCTTTTTTGACTCGATTCCGTTAGGGCTGGTCTGCGTTCCACAAGCTCCTTCTTTCCCTCTTTAAGTTTTTGGCTCCAGTTCTTGAAAGAGGCTGATCTCCAACTCGCATCTCGTGATCTGTATCGTGGCTCCCTCCGACTCCTCCTCGTCCTTCTTCATGATTTCCCAGAATTCCTCAGCGAATACTACTTCGGTCTCTGCGATGCCGTCCCTCCGCATTGCATCCAGCTTCGCAATATCATCCTCAGCGCGTTCCCTATGTCTATCATCCTTCCTGACCCCCATCTACGCAACATCAAATTTGACTCGATTCCCGAAATGGGACCGATACCACCCATTCTATCAGACTTTGCTTCAGGTCTCAAAAGCGCTGACCTCCGCAACAACCTTGATCAATACCTCCTTAATCGTGGAACCCCTTCATTCCTTACAACACTCAAAGATCGCTCGAGGCTGCCGGCGTGCCAGAGAGTTCAACCGAATCGTACAACCTGTCATTGATAAACTCCCTTGTCATGTACATTGGAGTATCGTCAGTTGCTCAGGCCAAGGCGAGGAGTGGCTCGTCTGTATTTGTCGCGAGCGACCCTGGCGTTGTTGCTTTATAGTATCTTGCTGCTAATTTAGATGTTGAAGGCGAGTCCAACGAATCTACTAGTTCATATGACATAGATTGACGCGTGATTTAGGACAACACCACCTCTTGAGCTCTATGGTTCTCCACCTACGATATCCCGACGCCCATACCCACTGGTTCAGCTCTTTGCTTCTCCACCTCTTTGTGGAAGTGAAGGACGATCGCTTCCGTGAAGTAATGACTCGCGTCCTTCTGGAGCGCTTCATTGTTTTCTCCTGTATTCGGTAGAACATGTCATAGATCACGACCGAGATTTTTCATGGTCGACCGAAAGCGTACCGGCGATGAGCTACGTGAGGAGTTTAGCGTGTTAGGGCTCTACAGGGAATGTGAGTACTCTTCTATTTGGTAATAACATGCTTACGTCAACATAGGTGTATACTGTTGTCATCGACAAAATTGTAACACAATTCAGTCCCTCAAGACCTTCATCGCTCGTTTTTAATTGTTTACAATATGCCACCTCGACGTGGCACTCCTGCTCTCAACTCTCTCAGCTCCCAGGATGCCGCAGTGCATCCTTCTTCTACCCCGACCTCTCCTGCTCACTTTCAATTCCCTCAAGCACATTTCAATTCTCCATCCGGCTTTGCTCACCTGCTCTCCAAGCCTTCAAGATGGTTCCGAAAGCCATCTGATCCACGCTTGGCGTCAAGTGCAGGTGAACCTCGATGTAGCACCAGTTCAGTGGCCATACGCAAGCCAAAGATATCTCGCCCCACAGACCCACGACCTATTTTTCAAGATTTTCAACCGGAGTCTCATGTTACCGACGCGAGCAAGTGAGTTTGGTTTTGTAACTTGCATTTGATGACCCTTTCCTCTATTATACCGTGTTCTCGGATAAGGTCGCCGCCCGTGCCTTGAATCTGACGCATACACTGAATTCATCCGCGTTTGTGTGTTCTACACGCATTTTTTGTATTAAAGTTGGCTGTGCATCGTAATACACGTACTTATAACTCAATGTGCTTCTTAGGTCGGTTCTAGACGTGGAGTCGACTGTATCCAATAAGTACTCCAGCAGTGTAACTCGATCATCGAGTGCACCAAACAATGGCGAGGCTTACTCGCGAGTCAAGATCTTTTGCTCAATTAACCTCTTCAGCCTTGGATAACGTTCTAGCATGGTATCAGTCGTCTGGCCAATCGATTAGTCAATAATGGGGGCTTCCACGCACAGGAGTTCATTCGCGTCGCACCTGAAGTTACCATGTTGCTTGAGAGCGTAAGACGTCCTGCTATTTAGCTGAAACCTTTACTCAACAGACATTGCAGGTCGCGAGATCCATCCATCAACCATAGATTCGTTTTGCCTTTATTCCTACTATCTGTCGCGCATATCTGTTTCTCCTCTCTAACTGCACTCACCGTATTGTAACAACCTTTCACCGTTTTCAAGTGTTGAACAAGGTGTAACGTGAACTTTGATTATAGCAAACCTCCTGCACAACCTTGTCGACACACCTCTGGCTTGTTGATGTGAAATCACATGGACAATGACGAAACATACTGACAGCCGGAAGGGCCTAGGAGAGGAAAAGACAATGGCTAACGTAGTATACAGACGTCTATTACTATGAATCAATGTGCAACCACTTGTAGTATTGTAAACGTGAGGGAATTTTAAAGGGCTATATATTTAGACGAATTCAACTGATGCATCACCAGGAGATTATGGTGAGCGGCGGGTGCTGCCGGCAGAGTTTGATTCACAAAGTCAATCAGTATATAATCCTCTTTGCTTCACTTTGCTCACCTTTCTTACCGTCCATAGCAAACCTCCGAATAGTTAGCTTTGTAGGGAATTTTAAAGGTCTATATAATTAGACGAATTCAACTGATGCATCACCAGGAGATTATGGTGAGCGGCGGATGCTGCCGGCGGAGTTTGATTCACAAAGTCAATCCGTATATAGTCCTCTTTGCTTCACTTTGCTCACCTTTCTCACTGTCCATAGCAAACCTCCGAATAGTTAGATTTGTTTGTAGCACACGATTGAATTTGTGATATCATACGGTTCAAAAGTACTAGATACAATGAATAATCAGCGTGCCGTGTGTACCTCTGATATATGGTTACGCAAACTACCGGGCAAGTGGATGAGATGATCGTGAGATCTACCCCCTCTTTGTATAAGCAGGATATTAATGAAGGCTGTAGATTCAACGTATCCAGGTTTTGACATGACGTCACTTGGCGGGAGGACATTTCGAATGTTAGTGCGAGTAAGGGCACTTTTTTCGGGGATAGTACATTGCCGGTACGTAGGGTATCCCGATGAATTTCTCCACATTCACTACATTGAATATTAGCTGTCCATCAGGCTTAATTCTAGGACCACCTTACACATATAACCACAAGTGCTGGTCGCGCACTCAGCAACGTACTGCCCTTGGGCCATTCCACTAGGTCGCTGAAAGACCGATGCCTCGACATATATGTCACCTGTTGCGCAAAGACAACACGGATATCGAAAAACGTGCGTCTGACGATAAGCTGCAAATTGTGAAGGGTGGATTTTTAGTCCACGCCGATTGGTTGGCCTGTAGGGTTGGCCTCATCGTGAGTGAGGAACCGATTTCCCGAAAACATTCAATTTACCATAAATACATTGATAGTTCCCCCGTCTGCCCATGGTAATGAAGAATACCATGACACGCAGTTAGGATTCTTACTAGCAACCCTACGACGTTGGGGTCAGCTTCGAATTCCGGAGATGCGAGCATTGAACATTCAGAGCATGGAGAAGATGGAACGGACATGTCAAGCGGTTCCCAGTTGAATTCGCATGGGAGGTTATATAGGTGTTCGGTGATCTCTGCGCGATCCGGTTCCAGGCTGCCTAAATGACAATAGCCGCGCCATTCTGAGCGTATTTGGCTACCAGTGTACCATACCGTAATTGCCGCGTCGTGCCATCCTCATTTGTTCTTGGCTACGAGCATGCGACTCCATCAACAATTTAAAATCACAAACGATAACAGGCTTCATGCTCCGGTCACCCCTCCATGTCATCTAGTTATACCTGCGCCTGCAAGCGAATCTTCACTGCCCAAAACTACTTCAGCCAACATCAGCGCTCATGTATTCACACGAAAAAGCGATTGTCATCGGCTCTATCTTCCTTTAAAGAATTTGTAGGACGCAAAAAAAGGGCGCGCACCTCACCCGGCCCTCTTGAGGTGCATGAAACGCCGAGGGAAGTGCCCGATGTGTTGCCCGTTGCCCTTAGCTCGGATGATACCAATGCTTCTACGGCCACTCAATATTCCGAGGCTGGAGTCCATCCTGCTCGGCCTACCTCTGGAGGAGGGATTACACCCCCAGATTGTGAAGTAGGAGACATTGACGGAGGAGAGGACGTTAGTTTGGCACGGCGGAGATCGCGACGTCAGAACCGCCAGCTGCCCCTGAGATATAGGGATGTACTTCCACAACCTCCACCTACGGTGCCCAGGGAAGTGCGAAACCAACCTCCGGAATCTGTCGGATCTGTAGTCACTTTATGTCAACGACCCGCCTTGCACGCGCGCACAGTTTTTCGTACCCCTCCAAATATATTTGGGCTGGTGCGTCAATACTTTTCCTCGCAACCGCCACCCCACGATCCGGAAGAGTATGTAACTCTTGCAGACCTCTTGCTTTTACCGGGCAGCTCCCAAGTTTCTGAGCAAACTCATCCGTTGACTACTTCGAGCAGCGAGTCTCAGTACCACCCCTATCCAAACCGCTCTTCCTTTCAACTTGGCGATTGGTATTGGAATCAGGGGATCCAAAAATCGCAAAGTGACTATACTAAACTGCTTGGAATCTTGGGCGATAATACATTCAATGTCGCCGATGTGACGTCTACTCATTGGAAGAAGATTAACTGCCAGCTGGGTATGAATGAGTACGACGAGGAAGATGGAGATGAATGGGAAGACGAAGATGCTGGATGGAAATGCACACCAGTTTCCATTAAGGTTCCTTTTTCTCGCACTTCTGATGCACCAGGTACTCGACTTTACAGAGCTGCAAATTTGTACCATCGCTCCCTGGTGGTGGTCATACGGGAGAAGCTCGCTAACGCTCAAGATGACAAACTTTTCCATTATGAGCCATACCAGCTTCGTTGGAACCCCCCGCATCTAGACGACGAAGTCCTTATACATGGGGATCTGTACACGTCTGCGTGTTTCCATGAGGCCCATAGCCAACTGCAAGAATCGCCAGGGGAACCAGGCTGTGACTTACCCCAAGTGGTGGCTGCTCTGATGTTCTGGTCAGACGCCATGCAACTGACTTCATTTGGAACTGCTAAGCTCTGGCCTACATACATGTACTTCGGGAACGAGTCCAAGTATCGCCGTTGCAAGCCGTCGTGTCACTTGAGCAACCACGTTGCTTACTTCGAAACAGTACGTGTGCCAAGCTTGTGGGCTTTAATTTATACTTAACGTCGCGTTGCCAGCTCCCCGACGCATTCAAAGACTTTACTGGCGGAATCAGTGAGAGTGCGACTCACTGTCATCGGGAGTTATTTCAGGAGCAATGGAATATATTACTGGACGAGGAGTTTCTAGAGGCATACGCGCATGGAATTGTCATTCGCTGTTGCGATGGCATCATGCGTAGATTTTATCCTCGGATTTTCACGTACTCTGCAGATTATCCTGAGAAGTACGTGATTTATTTCTGGTTCGATATTGTCGATTCTGATTTCGCCAGAGTTCTTATAGCCACAGTTCGAAATTTGGGAGGGTGCCCATGTCCCCGTTGCCTCATTCCAAAGGATCGGATACAGGACATGGGGAGACCCCGGGATAGACAGCAACGCTCGACCCTGGAACGCAATCCTCAAAAAGAGGAACTTTGGTTAGCGAAGCCCGTAAAATGATTTACGAGAATAACTACGCAGTCAGCAGCGCACCAGTAGAGCGCATTCTCAAGCCACACTCCTGGGTGCCCACCTCAGTGAGATTTGATCCCCAATTGCTGACTACTGCTAACCATGCTTCAGAATGCTTTCATAGACCGCCTCAGTCTAATGGGGTTCAATATTTTCCATGCTTTGGTGGTAGACCTTCTACACGAATTTGAGATCGGTGTATGGAAGATGCTGTTCATTCACCTGCTGCGAATTATCGTGGCGCATGACAAGGATCTAATTCATCGATTGGACGAGAGGTACGGTGTCACATACCGCGTTGCTCGTAGTGTTCAGCTGATCTCTACCATCAGGTACAGGCAAACCCCGATATTTGGTGCAGCCACCATACGAAAGTTTACATCCAATTCTTCCGAGATGAAACGTATGGCGGCTCGGAACTTCGAGGATCTCCTCCAGGTACAAGTTCACTGCATATTGATGTTGAATAGGCTATTGATGCGCTATGTACAGTGTTCTATCCCTGCTTTCGACGGCCTTCTTCCCGAGCCGCACAATCGAACTGTTCTCCAGTTACTATTCACCATGGCTCATTGGCATGGGCTAGCTAAGCTCCGCATGCATTCTGATACGACCCTCGATATCATGGATGAAGTGACGTCGGCGCTTGGGGACCAATTTCGTAAATTCAAGGCCACAGTTTGCGCCGCATACCAGACCCACGAGCTGCGCCAGGAGGTTGAAGCTCGTACCCGACGTAATACAAAGAAGGCGGGGACACAGACAGTAGGGCGTAAAGGAAAAGCAAGCTCGCGCCTCGCAGAACAAGGGCAGGCAGACCCTTCAGGGCGATCAACTCAGAATGTGCAACAAACGAAGGTATTCAATTTCCAAACGTACAAGTTTCACGCATTGGGAGACTATGTGTCTACGATACGCCGGTATGGCACGTGTGATTCGTATAGCACTGAACCGGTGTGTTCTAAACTTTTTAACTGTGAACTTGACTGATTGTCTTCAGGGTGAACTCGAACATCATTCCCCAAAGGCCAGATATCGCCGCACCGATCGCAACTTATTTGTCAAACAGTTGACTCGAATTGAACGCCGTCAGGCTCATATTCGCCGTATCGGGGACAAAATTGTTCATCGCCCCCATGTTGAAATTTCTGAGTTGGCGACGAGTCCTGAAGCTCATCACCATATCGGCCTGACTCAAAAGTACCCTGTACACATAGGATCGTATTTACGCAGCCACGAAGGAGATCCTGCCATCATAGTGAGTTCAATCATACCCCATCGACAGACTTCTAACACACTCATGCAGAATTTTGTTTCGAAACTGAAGGGTCATCTATTGCATCGTATCAACACTTCGAGCGATTCTCTGGGTTCCCGCAATGAATATGACATCAACACAATAATCATCAAGGACGATCGGATGTATCGGCATAACATTGCAAGGTTCAATTACACAACTTACGATGTTCGCAGAGGCCAAGACGTGGTCAATCCGAGGACTTCCCACTGTAACATTATGGTCCTCCGCACCGACACTGACATAGGAAACCAAGGTCACAAATATATCTACGGGAAGGTACTTGGTATATACCACGTTAACGTGATCTTTATCGGAAGCGGTATGATTAATTATACTCCCTGTCGAATGGAGTTTCTATGGATACGCTGGTATGAGCCGATCGATCAGGACTCTACCTGGGGGACCTTAACCCTAGACCGAGTGAACTTCCCGCCTCTAGCAGACGAACACTCATTCGACTTTCTTGATCCTGCAGATGTCCTTAGGGGCTGTCACATTATCCCTCGTTTTGCCAGCCGCAAGAGACATGTCGATGGATCGGGTATGTTGGCAAGTGCGGGAGATAAGGATGATTGGTGTGAATACTTTGTCAATCGGTGAGTTTCTCGCATCGTATCTTTGATTCGTAGCATCATCTTCATGTCAGATTTGTGGATCGTGACATGCTCATGTGTTTCCATTTCGGGCTTGGTGTCGGGCATGTTTACTCTCACCAACGCGCTATGCAGGTCATAGTTCAACAAAATGATATCACAGCGCAGTCCGTGTTTGTCGGAGAAGATGGCGAAGATGCCAGAAACTCCGGAGAGGGCGATGAAGGTGCAACTGACGATGAAGATGATGAAGATGATGTTCTGATAGTAGATCCCACTGAACAGTGGTGTGGCAGTAGCCAATCATCGCTGTTAGAGCAGTACGAAGAGATGTACGACAGCGAAGTAGAATTGGATTATGAAAATTAGATCATATTGTGATGATGAACGTAATTACACTCCATCCATAACTACTCTAGGCATCTGATTGCGGCGTGCTGCGTTAAAGTCTGTTCTAGGCATCGGATGGCGTCGAAGCTCCTCGTTTAGTCAAGCGTCCATATTTCAGAGGTCTGTACATGTAAATATTTTGATGGTATTATAACCGTATACGTCAGGATCCCCTTTGCGATGGCCTTCGCTTATCCTGGGGTTCAATTTAGAGTTTTGAAAATGGTGAGTCCGTCCAATAACTCAAAACTATCCGAATAAGAATGATTTAAAAGTCTATCGATCTCTCTGCCATTTTCATTCTCAATCGCAATGGCTTCCTCCTCTCACATTGCCCACGATCACCATATGAACGAGCCGGCTACGAAGCTGGACTCATTTATGTATGACAACTCTGGCCTCACATCCTACTCTGTCAGTTTTTTTGTTACCTTCCAAACACAGTGAACCCGCTCACTCAGTTCGCAGGGCGATTTCGTTGGTCTGGATGATATCGACTTCATTGGTTATTTGGCGTTGGGACCTGGGCCGACTCTGTACCCTCTATATGTAAGTACCTGTCTTTCTGACGAAGTTACATAGCGCTTATCATTGTGGGCCTAGTGTCGACCGGCGCTACATAATGCTGTCAGTGGTTGATTTTGTGCGAGACTACATACTTACTTCCTCCTAGTTGAAAGTGCACATTTCTCTATATGCTTATGTGCTGACACCAGTCGTCCATCGTTCGGCCTTGGAAACCGATCAGGGCACAGAAGTTCCCGTCTACATTAGTTCTGTAAGTCGAATCTCTATTGCGTTTGTGCCCCCACTGAGCAGTTCTATAGTTTCATGCTACGAATGCGCATTTAAATTTGCCTGCGAGGTCCATGAGGGTAGGTCCTGATAACCAGTTCTATGTTGTGTACGACTGTGTAAGTCCGCCTTTCAAGAATGTAGGTATCTCACTTGACAATATACCATAGCTTGGTCCTGACAACTCCACCACTGTCGTCCATCCCGCCCGGCATCCTACTGGTCATTACCCTTGGTCCAACATTGACCTCGCAGTCCTTGCAGCCACATCAGATGCCTGCGACAGTAGTGGTGTTGCGATCGTCCCTGGTTCTTCCACCCTCATGACTTCGGACGACGTAACTGAAGCCGACAGTTTAAACGATGCCTTCATGTTGGATGAGTCTTGCGGCGACGAACATTCGACACCCGGAGACCCAACCAGTGCCCATGCATCCCAAGCAGCCACGTCGAACCCACCGACTATCTATTCATGGATTTCATACTCAGGCAACATGTTAAGCACCGCTGCCAGTACCCACGCAAATCGCAAATCAACTGCCACTTCCAAGGGGAAAAAAGCGAAAAAAGTTGTTGTACCCGAAGGGGGCCTCAAGAGAGTCATGAATACTTATCCGAAGTGGAAATTGGCCCTTGCCTACCTCCGGGTTCTCCTACGGATAGCAGTTTGCGTTGGTGAAATCTCAAACCCCCACAAGCTCACTTTCGAAAATCGGGCAGAAGCTATTCGCAATGTCTGGCCTCGGGCCCTCCTTCGGGCTAATATTAATTCCTGCGATTTGGAAGAGGGTGGGAAGCTAAATTTCTCTGACACGCTAGACATACTGACCCCTTCTCAGTGTTGTCGCTTACCACTAAGACTGCTATGTCTCATGATGATGTATTGAAACTCGTACGTATGAATCCTTACTTTCATTAGCGTAGCTCATCCCAGAACAGGCCAACCCATCACTCTCAGAGTTTGTCTACGATACCAAGCGCTTGGCGTCATGCTCGATCGGCCATGCCCAGGCAGGCTTCAACCTTGACGACTTAGGTGCAGGCATCTTATTGCTCAACATGATTCAAAATCTGCTCCAGCAGTTCATCAGACCAAAATCGAATGTTCTGCCAATTAGAGTAGGTGTCCCGCATTCCTTTGGTCGTCAGTCTTATTTCGCCCTGCAGGCAAACGGTTTTGCTTGGTTCCTCACCCACCAAATTGCCAAAGAGATTATGTGGCACGTTATTTTTCGTTCAACTAGCACACACGCTGTTCGACTGGTGTTGGCTGATCTGGAGCCGACAACGTTTAGGAATGTAGATCACCCACCCTTTCTGACTATGTCGTTTCTGGGGTCCAGTGTAAGTCTCTTTTTCTTTCTGTTTCTTTTTTCACTCGCTTACGATGTGTTTGAGTGTTACGGTGCTCTCCTGCTGAAATACGCAACCTTAACAAAAATACCCGTCGATCTACTACAATATCCACACCCGGCCCAGGTGTACGAAGAGCTCTGCGAGACGGCTGTCACACTTGTCAACGAGCGCGATGACGAGGGTCACCCCGAGCTCATGTTCAGCTTGGCCCAATTGTGCAACATTTTGTGAGTTCATCGGGAATCTTATGCTCCGCTGGCTAATTGGAGCACAGGATCAACCAGGTTTTTCGGCTTGGCCGATCACATGAGTGATGAAGATGGCCAATAAATAATGTCCTATCTGTATCTCATCTGCAGTAGTCTTGTTTCGGAATGTACATCGATATCTGTTATCTGTTGGGCTGGAAACATTTTTTGGATTGTTTAAGTGTGATGGGGATATGCAACGCTGAGCGTCTTGAGTGTGATCATACAGCCAGAATGGTAGCGACTATGTTACTCAAAGTAAGCAATATCAATGTTCACCAGCCCCGCGCTCACGAACGACATTTAGAGATCAAAGAAAAACTAGATAACCTTCTTATACATTTCAGAAGTCCCTATACCTGCAGTTTGACCGAATTCTGCCGTGTCTTTTTTCCAATTCTTACCACTACCAGAGAGTTCGTCGGAGGAGTTTTGGTGAGTATATGTATTTATTCGAATGCACAATGACCTTGCTTATTTTGAGTCAACACCTTTCGGCAGTGTAATCGCTTGGTCCTCTCGCACCAAAGCTCAGAGACGAGCGCTTACCAAAGCAATAACCCACCTCTGTCCCAAAATGTATGATGACCGGCGAGTACACGCCTTCCTTCCCCTTCTCAACATTTATTCATAACGCTACAGCCTTTCTTCTGCAGATGTTCTATCCGCCTTCCCTGCATCTACATCTGCCATCGTCCACCACCAAACCTCTTTCACCTATCATCAATCATCCGTCAAACTTATGACCCACACCCAATCCTCCTCGTCTATCTCTTCGACCCAATGTCTTGTTTGTGTTCCTCGAAGGTATGTATACTTGAGTCAATATATATGTTTAATGCACTTATCTCGCCTAGCATAATGGCTGGTCCATCAAGGTGACACATACCTTGTTCGTGGCAGCATAGCAGTACTAACGCAGGGCTTATTGGCATGTCTGAGGAGTATCTGGCGATAAGCTATTACCTCTGCTTTCCTTGCTGGTATTGATATGACTCGTGCGGAGAACGAGACTGGCTCATTCTTGATCAACGGCCCGCCAGACGAAGCTGCAGCCAAGTTTCTCCGCCGAATCTCCGGTTTGTTTTGTTGATTCCAATTTAGTAATTAATATTATTTTAGAGTTCAATCGCTTCCAAGGTCAGTACGCCATTGCGTCCAAATTAGGACGAGGTCGAAGTGCATCATCGCTTCCAAAATTCTGGTATTATAGAGTCAAAGCATTCAACAATCGTGTGAATATTCCTTGAGCCTTTCACTCCCTGCAAAACTTTTTAATATGTCAATTGTCACTTCAGCTTCTTTTTCTACGTCCCAGTCACCTTCGAAAACCCACTTCGTTGAAATAGAACACGCTGAGAATGCCTTGAGATTTTGGCTCCAGAACTTCAGGGCAGAAATCGTTAGTCTGCTCACATTGGTTTTCATACTAATCATTCACAAGTTGCCCTCTAGCTTCCACACTCCCTCTACACTACAGCTTCTGTGCTGTTTGAATCGGTCGACCCACACGATCTGATAGCTCTCCTTGACATAAGCATCAGGGAAATCGCCATGCAGACGCAGCTCCAGCAAGAGGACAGTAACACGGTACTCTTTCTCCAAAGAGGGAGATGCTTTATGGAGGAGAGAATGTATCGAGCACAAATGGAGGTTTCATTATTCAGTAAAGCTATGGCAAACTTGTGCGAGAAACTGAACACTACAACTAATTCAACTAATTCGCGTGAGTTATTCTATTCAAAGGGTCATGTCCAAAGAATTCAACATCGTTCCTAGCTCCATCGCTTGCTCCAAAGCTCCCCCTGGACGCTGTCGACTATGAAGGAGTATGTCAAGAATCTCCCTCGGTCAAATTCGACTGTCCCAGACGCATCGAGGCCGTCCGATCCAAATGCATGGCATGGCTTTCCGCCTGCCGCGAGGCATCGCTTCTGACATCGTCACATTTTCATGACACTACAGCAGTTGGTAACAAAGCTAGCCGAGTACTTATTGACCCCCCGCAACATGTACACGATTCTTGCCGCCATGAAAACCTCTCAAAGGTGAGCGTCACTAATACTACGAAGGACCTGGTATTCTGACGTTGTGCAGCCGGGCGATCCAATTCTTCACCTACCTGGTTACTTGAAATCCCGCGTTGATGATATGGCACGTCGTGCATACGTGAGCGCATGCCTTGCGGAAATCAACAGACCTCTAGGCACCGGTACCGGTAGCGATAACAGTAACCACTTCAGAGCAGAGAGTAAAACACTGGACGAACTCAAGTATGACTTACGTATTATGTATTTGAAGAAGCAACGCGCACAGTCCGAAGTGGACATGTTTGCTGAAGCCATAGCACGCACTGTTGGTGGGCATGAAAATTTTGCTTCAAGTTTTCTTACGTTAACATCGCTGTCGGCTTGTCAGAAGGCGCATCTTCTGCCAGTGCTACGACGATCGAACCACCTCTACTTGATGATGATTGGTTTGACGGTTGGAACTCAACCTCGTCCCTATCTTCCGATATTTATGCACTTCTGTGAGACTCGCTACCGTCCAAGTCCAAGTCCAAAGCCAAAGCCAGGGTTTGGTCATAATTATATTTAATTATTTTCTGTTGTACGTCGGCCTTGGTTTGGTTTATGTCATTCTTGCTACCTTTTTCATCACTTTGTTTACCATTTCCCCAGTGACGTCTACTCGCCTGTTTCGAGGTACCGCCCATTGTCTTCAACTCAAATGTACCCCTTATCTGCCTCTAACTCAAATGTACCCCCTATCACTTCCAACTTAAATCACCTGCATCGTACTATCTTCACTTATATCCAACAAGTTGCTCCCACCTGTTTCCTTCGAGCCTGGTTTTAGTGTATAAGATGACATGTATTGTTTCCTACAACATTTGAATTCACTGTTTGCTTCGTATCAGAACTGAAATAGCATCCTTGTTATTATAAGTTATACCGCGCTATTGAATCTTCTTTTCCGGACTCGCAGAATTCTGAGATGCTGCGAACGTATAACTTACTCCAATTTTGTATTGTTATTAGTACTGCTTGTCCGTACATCGCAGTCTCGAAATCTAGACTTATTATTACATACTCTTGAGTGACACTTTAATAAGTTCACCCACACTGATACTACATGGTACTGCTCTGTAACCACCTAGCACCATTGTTCCATAGACTCGGCCATGGTGATGATCAGGCAGGTGATTGCAGGCGGACTGTCATGATCGTAGTTTTTGCAGCTTCTACGCAGTTTAGATAAGACACATCCTATCATTTAAAAAATGTTGCAACACATTATAACTTTACTGGAAACACAAAAGCTTTGTAAATGCTAGCCATGTTGGTGATGGCCAGACAAGTAATTACAAGCTGGCTATCATAATTGTAGTTTTTGCAGCTTCTATGTAATTTAGATGAAACATATGTCACTATTTAAAAAATGCTACAATGTATTATAAATCTACTGGAAATGTGACGACCTGTAGTCATTCAACTACAGTGTATGGACATGCAGTTATCTCACTGTTGTCTGCTTCCAAGACATACATCCAGATGGTATTTCTCTGGTATAGTCATATCTTATTTCACCTATGTGTGACACTATGATAAAAATATCTAAGGCTAAAAAATGATGTACAATAATGTGTTTTAATTACCAATTCTGTCTGGTAATATCAATTTCGGGTTGATTCCCTGATGTAAGCGTAGCCCAATTGTACGTACAAGTTGCGAAGGAATCGTTCGCTGGTGAACCCGACCAACCAACGTATTTTAGACGATATGGAGAGAATTCCTAGAGACCGTCTTTAGCTTTGCCTAGTGAGTCTCTGGAACGAAAGCATAGAAGTGACTAACGGTACAAATGGTCGAGTTGCGTTAGAGTTAGTTGGGTCTGCTCCAGTTTCGTCCATTGAGTATCTAACCTTGTGAATGTGTGGATGGGTATCAGGTTGTGATGATTGAGGCTTCCGTGCCCGAATAGCGATGAACGACTTTCCAGAATCCTTGGGAGATGAACTGCCTTCAGGCTCCACCTCACCCCACTGTCCAGTCGATCACCCTCGCTGTGCCTAGGATTCCTTCGAATGTTGTACCAATGTCTCTTCTGTGGTTGGTCGGGATCACTGTTGTTTGATTCCCCGCCATTCGTCTTGGTCGCCATCGAAGGATGCTCCTCCTGCGTAGGAGCATTTACAGGTGTTGCATTCAATGCAGCTACATCTCCAATAATAACTGTTGTTTGACTCTTTGTGCGCATGTGTGGCAACATTGCTCCAGTAGGTAGTCCAGAGCCCATGAGGGCAGGAAGGCGCGTAACATTCGCTATGGAAGCAGTTGGAGTAGGTAGTTCTTCATCGTCATAGATCGTCTTCGTTGGTGTGCCAACAGACACCGGCCCACTGCGCTTGCGTTCCATGCTAGTGAGCTCCCCCCAGTCTCACTGACAATCGCATATGGTGAGTCATAGTGGGCACGACTGCCACCGATGCGGGAGAAACCTGAATTGGAGTGTTGGTGAGGTGTGCTAATGGATGTGCGGTCGTATGAGCTGCGGGGACCTGGACCTGGGAATGGCTGCCACGCGCCCATTATGTGACCACTTTCTGCATCGTCATCGCTGTCCTCTCTGTAAGGCTGCGAAGCATGCTGAGGTCGCAATACTGATGGCGGGGGCCCACCAGAATGATGAGAGGAGCTGGAACCTTTGTCTTTCTGCGCGAAAGATGCGTTGGGTGGCACATAGGGAGATGAACCACGTGCAGCGAAAGAGTCTCGAGCGACGGGTGAATGTCGTACCTTCCGTGGCTTTGTAGTGTCTTCGTTCGCGACCACCTCTCCGTGGCTCGCAACATCCGAGAAGAGAAAGCACACCGATCAATCCGAGTATGCCATAGGCTACCCAACCGCCTGCGCTTATTGAAATCTGAATGAGCTGTTAGCATTGGACTTCACGGAGACAGGTAGCCTTACAGTTAAGGTCAAAATAAGTAGCAGTCTTTGAAGTCTGTAGTGTCTCACAAATAAAGGACCAGGCTGAAGACGACATTGAATGAGCCAAGGACCAACCTATTCAATTGCTTCCTTATCGCAGTGAAAACGAAAAAAAAACAAGATGCTAGATTATTAGGACTCGATGCAGTCGGGCGAATTAGCATGGATAGCGGGCGATGAGCGGGTGATGAGTGGGCGATGGGCGGGCGATTCATTTAGTCTGTCCACAAAACTTGAAATTTCGTCTTCACATTTTGTCCCTGGTGCAATCATCAAATTTCCCGGGCGTCCAATTGTCGCACACAACTTGAAATATTAGCAAGCATGTGGTCATATCCCAATTTTCAAGTTTTGTCTGGAGTTTTACGTGAGAATGAAACTTCAAATTTAAGCAATCACATAAAATATGATTATATTTCTTATTGTCACTGACATATTGTCGATGGGGATATGGTGGTGAATACTTCATGTTTTGTATTCTGCACAAAACACCGCCAAATTTTAAAGTTATGTTTCCATCTTTATGTTAGTTTACATTTCAAATATTTTCTTCACATTTTACACAACATATAAACCTCTCCTAAATATCGATGACCCCGATGTGTTTGTTGTGATGACAAGAAGTTCTCCTGACGGTGAATGCCGTACACAGTTGACAAATTGACACTCGATTGGATTTCCTTGCAGCTGCCAGGTTTTGGTATTCCACAGTTTCGTCATTTCATCGAACAATGAACCAGTGGCCAGCACTGTTCCATCGGGAGAAAAATCCAGCGAGGAGGTATAATAGGAGTGTGCTTTGATTTTGGTGAGTGATTCGCCAGTTTCTCCGTGCCAGATGATGACCTCTCCGCTTGTATCACCGCTTGCTATCAATTGCCCATCTCATGATACCGCCAATCTCCACACCCAATTGCGATGCCCCTCCATCTTCTTTAACACAACACCTGTCTTCAAGTCCCACAGACGAACCGTTGTGTCGACCGAGCCTGTAACCATCCGGTGTTTATCAGGGAAAACTGCGACTGCGGTTATCCCTTTTTCATGGCCTTTGAACCATCGCAGGGGAGTGGTGATTGTAATGAGCTCCGACATTTTACTGGATGTTGATCGTATGGAATACGGATGAGGCTAAACTTTGGAGGGATTGTGTCTTTCTCTAAGCTGCAGAGGGTGTATGGTGCGTTTTATGGTGCTTCCCAGCTCAATAGATGCCCGGAATATCTAAGGCCGCCTGTTCGTGCCCACGCCTCCATCACCGTAATGCACCCATCCTATTGTCATACCCGCTGTCCTCGACGTATGCACATCTGCAGTACATACATGCGTCTGACTCTTGTCTTCACAGCTTCCAGAATGTATCCTATCGCATCAAGTCGAGCACTGGTCCGTGCTTTCCAGCGCTCGAATCTGACTGTCTATCCTGCATGAATACCGTTGTTCTTCGTATCTAGCAGCTACTCCAGCTTATCACCAAGTTACTTCTTCGAACGCATGTATATAGCTCACTGCAATATCACTTCTCCATCCAACAGACTCCCAAGATTGTGTGCACAAAATGCAACTAAATTTCGTGGTACAGCCTCGGAATTTTCCCATCATTGCCACGGGCATCGTGAAAATGCTGCGCCACTGCCGCATGCGACTGCTGCGGTGTTCCTAAACGGTGAGTGCGCATTAACTACAAGTACTTACTTATTGCTAATCACTGGAACCTCCCAGTGCTTGTCCTCCAAACGAGCCATGGACTCGAGGGTGCTCCGATTCCTTATATGTATATCCACGCTCCCAGAGTCACGGTCAGGCGATATCATCGAGATTCGCAGTACTCCCGGTCTGTAAGTCAGGTCTCTCAAACAACTATCTTGTTATTAAACGACCTTTTATATTGCATTGTAGTCTGATTCCTCCGCTCTTATTTCTTTTTAGTGAACGACTGCGTCGTTGCGGGCATTTGTCTCAAGCCTGACGCAGTCATTGGCACCTTTCTTCGCGTTTATTTTGCTCGTGTGTTGATTTGCTGCAGTACCTCCAAACTTCTTATCTCAATTGCAAGGTCCTGACTAAATTTTGGACGATGGGATAATTTCCATGCGAATGATGCTCCCGCAAACTGATCCCGAGCTGAGGAATTTAACGAGCGCAGAGGGCACATCTTGCGGCCTGGCTCATACACTAATCATGTTTCTATGCGGAGATACTGTCGCATCTCCAGCGCATGCTGAGCGAAGCGTCCAACGGCAAGTGCGAATTACAGGACAGACGTGCAGAGTCCCAAGATATCGTATGTTAGCGGGAGACGGGACCCTGTGTTTTCCAAGTCGTCTCCATCAAGTATCGTCGGACAGCATTCGACGTTCCACTGCCGAATATCTGCCAAGCACACATTTTCGTCGGTTCCGCGTTGTCTGCTAACACACGAGGCTAATCAGTGACGGACTGATTGGGATTTGACAGCGCCGCCTACTAATACTATCTTGAAAGACACTTGTCCAAAAAAAGTGCTTCCTGTCGTTATCGCGGCAAGCAATGTACTAGTCCAGCTAGAGGTCGTCCAACATTGCTAGGAATGGTACCATCTTGCGTGCTTATCAGATAGCGTTTGTAAGCCAAGTAGTCAGCGTCATCCCGATTCATCCTCGTATGTGCTCGATTTGCAACCATGTAAATATAAATCCAGGGCTAGTTTCGCTCTCTTCATCCATCCAGTCCACCATGTCCATCCCTGCATTCGATACCACCTCCTACTCCACCTATACCCAACCACCCAATCCATCCTGGACGTACGGTCAGAAAGTCGACGCTACTCCTGCCGGCAAAGAGTGGCTCGAAGGCGAATCTGCTGGGTGGAAAGTTTACAACACAGCAGAAACGGACAAGATGTACGTACTCCCCCACCTATTGTTCAGTCGCGATCTGACCGCGATCGACAGCGATCTCTACAAGCTCTTGATTTCAGGCATCGTACCACGCCCCATCGCATTCGTGTCCACGATCAGCGAGGATGGCGTAGAGAACCTGGCACCCTTCAGGTAAGACACACCTCCGGTATCCAACACACTTCGCACACTTACCTGGGTTGCATCTACCAGTTGGTTTAACACAGTGAGTAATACGACAAACAACGTCTCTTCAATCGTTCAATAACCTCTTCCCATAGGTCACGAACTACCCTCCTGTCATCTCCTTTGCAGTCAACCACAGCGCCCCAGGTCGGCTCAAAGACACGGCCACGAACTTGAAGAACGGCCAAGGATTCACCGTGAACATCATCAGCGAGGCATTCGTCGAGAACGCAAATGCGACTGCTATAGATGCTCCTCGCGACTTCGACGAGTGGACTCTCAGCGGTCTGACAAAGGAGAAATGCGTACGTGTGCACTGTCATAACACGATATATGCGCTAACAACGACGCGTTCAGGTGCAAATAAGAGCCTCGCGCGTCAAGGAAAGCGCTTTTAGCATGGAGTGCGAGGTAAGCCCATTTCACGACGAGTCCGCTCGCTTGCTAACAACACCACCTCCCAACAGCTTTACAAAGCGATAGACATCACCCACCCAGTTACAGGCGAGCACAACAACACGCTCATCCTCGCGCACGTCAAGTACATCCACGTCCGCAAAGACGTGCTCACAGAGAAAGGTGTCATCGATCTCACAAAGTTCAAGCCTGTCGCGCGTTTGGGCGATATCTCGTATGCCCGGGTTGGAGATGCGTACAGGATCGCTCGTCCATCATGGGCGCAGGATGAGGCGAAGATACAGGAGGCATTGACGACTCACGCATCACTGTGAGATAGAACGAAGGAGCCATTTTTTGGTAACATACCATAGATTATATGTAGGATGGGCACTGGTATGATACCGTATTGGTTACAACATGCTACCCCTGCATCACAAGCAACGAAGCCCTATATACAGGCCATTCATAATTCATGCAATCCTTTCAGATGCAGTTGTTACGTGCCGAGATCGCATTCAAAGAGCAATTTGATATGCATATGTCGCGAATGTAGCTGCCTGCACGCTCACAATGATTGTCAATAGCTCTGAAGGACATTATATTTGAGAAGTTGATGATTATTATGATGTAAAAAGTAAGGCTTGCTAGTCAATTATGAAGGTCTATTTTAAGGATAAGAAATAACGACGGACTCGATCCCGCCTGGATGATGATATCTATATGATCTATGGTATATGTTCCCTAGAAAAATAGTGAGCCAATCTCCGTTCTATGTCATGTTGATGCGAGAGTCTTCAATGCTTCCTGTATTTTTGCCTCCTCCTGCGCCCATAATGGAATAGGGATCCTATATGTATCTCCAACCCGGGCATATGAGATATCGCCCACACGTCCGACAGGCTTGAACTTGGCGAGGTCGACGGCACCCCTGCCTGAGAGCATGTCTTTGCGCACATGGAAGTACTTGACGTGCGCGAGGATGAGCGTGCTGGTGTGCTCGCCTGTGACCGGGTGCGTGATATCTATCGATTTGTACAGCTGTTGGGAGCCGACGTTATTAGCGAGCGAGCGGGCTAGGCGTGAAATGGAATTACCTCGCATTCCATGCTAAAAGCGCTTTCCTTGACGCGCGAGGCTCTTATTTGCACCTGAACGCGCCGTTGTTAGCGCATATATCGTATGATGAAGGTGCGCGCTTACGCATTTCTCCTTCGTCAGACCGCTGAGAGTCCACTCGTCGACATCGGGAGGAGCGTCTACGGCAGCTGCATTTGCATTTTCGATAAACGCCTCGCTGATGATGTTCACGGCGAACCCTTGACCGTTCTTCAAGTTCCTGGTCGTGTCTTTTAGGCGGCCCGCAGGGTTTCGGTTGATTCCGAATGAGATGACAGGCGGGTAGTCCGTGACCTATAAGAAGAGGTTAACCATTAGAAAGACGCGTTGTTTGTTGTATTGCTCACTGTGTTGAACCAACTGATAGATAGCCAGGTAAGCGTGCAGAACGCAATAGATCATGAAAGCGCGTCTTACCTGAACGATGCCAGGTTCTCTACGCCATCCTCGCTGATCGTAGATACAATTGTCATGGGGCGTGGTGCAATGCCTGAATTCAAGAGTTTCCTAATATTGCTATGGATTGCGGTCACGATCGCGGCTGATAAACAGGTGGAGGAGTACGTACGCCTTGTCCATTTCTGCTGTGTTATAGACTTTCCAGCCTGCAGATTCGCCTGCAAGCCAGTCTTTTCCGGCAGGAGTGGCGTCGACTTTCTGGCCGTACGTCCAGGATGGATTGGGTGATTGGGTGGTGGTGGAGTAGGAGGTGGTATCGAATGGAGGGATGTACATGGTTGGTGTGTTAGCTGGATGAAGACAGCAAAACTAACTCTGTATATATAGTTACATGGTCGCAAATATTGAGGCCAGTCTTTACGCAAGAGGTCGAAGCGCTGATAACGGATGATGGTGCGGACTGATTGCAATTGGCTTACGAAGCTATCATAAGGACGCAAGTTGTGGACCGGACTCGTAGATCATGCATATGGATGAACGCATAATGGTAAACAGGACCTTGTCGCGTCCATGATCGGATCAGTGTCAGCTATTTGAGACTAATTTACAAGTGGATCAACTATGCACCTATAATTCCCAGGTGATAAACCGGTCGGCAGACTCGGCATGGTGCCACCAACACGGTTAAGTAAGCACGTGACAGCTCGGCAGCATCTGCCGTATGTAAAGTCAGGCTGCGCTGTGCCCGACGACGTCGGATGTCCGACGAGGCTCCAGCCCGTTCTCACTGATTTCTCAACCGTTTGAAAGGACCAACTATCAATTGGATGCTATGGGATACATTCCGGCAGCTGTGGAGACAAGAGTCGGACGCATGTGAGTAGGACCGTAGAATACTGCTTTTCTGACCGAAGTTAATCCGAATGTGTGTTGAAAAATCGAGTGACTCAATAAGTTTACCTGCAATTAGCATATTTCAAGGGGAAAGGGACTCGAGGAGGCAAGCACCGTTACGATTTGAGATAGCCCCGTGGGCTGTGGTAGCAACTTCACGGGTCAAATTTTCAAAGCCCATGTGCTTACTAATAATGCCTGCTTTTAGCGATCCTTATGTCATTGTTTGGCTGCTTCTAACCCTCATCTTGGTGGTGTGGAGTCTGTGGATCACCTAGAGTTATGTGGGAGCACCTGATCCATTTGACATATCTAGCACTGTAATGCGATCACGGACTCGACACGTTTCTATGCGTTCATCCATCATCCACGAGCGCCCAGTCTATGTATCGTCCGAGATCATAGCATTGCAAGCCGATTTCAGAATGTCCAGTTTTCACTGGGGCTGCACTTCGGAGGCTCGAAGGAGAGCATAAATATATAATAAAACGACGGCAGCAATCATAAAACAACAACAGTACTAGTGCAAGAAACAATACACTTCTAGAAGTACATACAACCCAAGAAAATCATATGATAATACCTCAAGTCCTCCTGATCAACTTTCCCCTCGCCTGTTCTGAGCTCGTCTCTTCTTGAGTTCATAGAATCGCGCTGTTGCAGCCGCCGAGCCTACATACACGACGCATGAATTGATCGTCAGCCATCTTGCGCAACGGGCAAATGAGAGACCAAACACATGCACCTTTCTTCGGCGCACCCCTTCCTATACCCATGAACCACAGAAGAGCTCGCACAGGGAACCATACGACCATTAGCACCCATCCAAAAATCACTTGGAGTGGGCCAACCGCGAGGATGTTGAGCAGTAAGACGACCAAGCGCAATGGACCGCTGCCAGGCGTTCTGTCGGAGACGTAGAGAATGTATCTGGTGCATTCGATGGTGAAGAAGATCGGAATGAGGAAAGAAGCATAGACTGTGCGTGGTAAGTGTGAGTCGCAGTCGAGCGGAGTAAAGATTAACAATCACGTACCAAAATCGTTCAGAGCGGAAGTCATGTTGTTACAATAACCAATACTGGATCCGGTCGAGCAGGATCTTTTGAATTACAGACTATAGACAAGGCGAGATGCCTCGGGCCTCAGGGATGTTGGTGGTGCAGTTTTGATGTACACTTCGTGGTTTACAACAGTGGTTCAAGAATTTGTCAAAAATCAACAGAAGTTCGGCCAATTGGAAGCCACCCACAGTTGTCAAATTCCGATGCTTCCATCAACCAAGATAGTACCTGGAGCTCTTTATACGTTCACGAGTTACGACGGTCACCTTTCAGTTCTGCAGAACATCCCGAACATGTTTATGTCGATTTGAATTAATAGCAACAAGGCTGCTTTCGGGCGTCATGATTATCTAAGCATTTACAGAAGTACACATCTTGAAACTCTGTTTCTAAGTCATACATGCATTCACAGGCACTTTCTTTACAAGCGGTCTACGGGCGATGTTCACGTCAATGACTGATCGACGATCAAGCTCAATTTGACACTCACTAACGTTGCCGAGGTCACTGCAAGCCTCCTTGACCCGTGCCGAGAGCGTTTTCTCTCCCTCACGAACCCAGACACGGGGGTCATAGAACTGCAATCAGAGATGAATGACAGAAATGTCATAAAAGATAAGCTAGAACGAACCTTCTTGTTAGGTTTGTCTGCGCCCTCGGGGTTACCAACTTGAGTGAGCAGGTAATCTTTTTTCTTGAAAACAAAGTCCTGAGAGATAACGGTCAGCCATTGCGCGATCTCCAGGACTGATGGTCAATCGTACCCTAATACCAGCGAGGTAAGCAAACTGGGTATCTGAGTGATAGTTTCCGCGTCAGCGACTGGATTCATTACTAAACCTAACAGACTCGCCGGTATCAACGTTCATTTTGACGACACCATGGTTGACTGCAGTCCTGATCTCCTCCTTGGTTGACCCAGAACCACCGTGGAACACGAGGTAGAGAGGCTTCTCGAACTTGCCACCGAGTTTTTTGCTACTGTAAGCTTGGTGCTTGCCCAGCAACTCAGGCTGGAGCTTGACGTTTCCAGGCTTGTAGACGCCGTGCACGTTACCGAACGCAGCAGCAATGCTGAAGTTGGGGCTAATCGCACTCAAAGCAGCGTGGACATCGTAGATGTCCTCGGGTTGCGTGTAGAGGGATGCGTTGTCGACACCAGTGTTATCAACACCGTCCTCTTCACCTCCGGTGATACCAATTTCCATCTCTAGCCAAATACCAATAGGTGCCATGCGCTTGAAGTATTTGACGCAAGTTGCGATGTTCTCTTCTTTTGGCTCTTCGGACAGGTCAAGCATGTGTGAAGAGAAAAGGGGCTCTTGGTGCTCCTTGAAATAAGCCTCATCGGCAGCAAGCATGCCATCAAACCATTGAAGGAGCTTATGGGCACAGTGGTCGCTGTGAAGAACGACAGGCCTGATATCCATCGTGGATCAAAATAACATAGATCCCAGGCAAAGGTAAGACTCACACGCCATAGGCCTTCGCAACTGTGCGAATGTGGTGGGCAGCAGCGATAGCTCCCAGAATGGAAGCTTGCTGGTTGTCATTTGATAGACCTTTCCCGGCGAAGTAGGCACTTCCACCCTGAGAGACCTGGAGGATGATTGGAGCCTTGATGTCTCTGCGGAGCTGGATGTGAACATTTTGTGAATCGCTAAGACTCATTTGCTGACCTTGCGGCTTCCAAGACGGCGTTAGCGGTGGATGAAGAAGTGACGTTCTTGATGGAGTCAGGCCAGGAGACTGTGGTTGATTTCGTCACTCACTATAGCCTGGTGAAGAGATCGTCGTTTCAACAGGATATTTACTTCCGATAGGAAAGGCACTCACAGGAATGGCAAACTATTGAAGTAGAATCGCAAGGCGCTTCATTAAGAAAATAGGATACAGTAAGTCGAGAGCGACGTACCTTGTTCTCCTTTGCGTAGTCGAACAACTTGCGAACGTTATCTCCAGTTAGGACACCAGCCTGCGAGTACGTCAGTGGATCAGCTTGCCCGATGATTCAAGTTGACTGTACTAACGGGAACGATATCGAGGACACCCATGATGAATCGACGAGAGAGTGCGATAATGGTAGATCTGAAAGAAGATGGAAAGAGCGTCAGAACAGCCTTTAGAATGGGAGCGAAAAGGTACCTTATAAGCTACCGATGGAGTGAAACGACTTTGAGATTGATTATAATCTCTCCCTCGGCGTCCGATATCACCCAATTTGTGTCACGTGACTAATTTAAATATCGCATCATCTCTCCAGGTGCAGTACATACTTACTAAATCGGGGCATAATTCTTGGAAAAACGTTCGATACAACCAGCGTACGACATCCTTGGAAAGTACGTTCACTTCGGGATCAACAAGTATGCGATTCCCGGAGACCGTGGTTTTGCAATCTGGTCCCAGGCCGCCCCACCGTCCCCCTTGTTTCCTAGGCAGACTCCCAAAGTCCCATAATTGGGCACCGACTTCACACCAAACCATCCCAGGCTAGTCCCACACCCAGTGTTCTGCCAGTCACTGACCGTGGTGTCCGTTCAGTGAACCTAAAGGGTGTGAAAGTCAGCGACAGTCGACGAAGTTCACTTGAACGTGAACGTGTCGGGTACCATGGTCCTTGTTCCTTATATAGAAACTGACTTGTTCAACGCTATAGATAATAATGCCTGCCCTTGTGTCATTGTTTGACTGCTTCTAACCCTGGTGTGGACCGGTCTATCACCTCTTATTAGTAGAAGCACCTGATCCATTTGTAAGTTCTGACATATATCTAGCACTGAGTCTGTAATGCGATCACGGACTCGACACGGTTCTATGCGTTCATCTATCATCCACGAGCGCCGAGTCGTCCGATCCCCAACTTGCGTCCTTATGAGATAGTATTGTAAGCCAAGCAGTCAGCATCATCCGTTATCAGCGCTTCGACCTCATACGCATGAAGACTGGCCTCGATATTTGCGACCATGTAACTATAAAAACAGGGTCAGTCTTGCTGTCTTCATCCAGCTAATCCACCAACAATGTACATCCCTCCATTCGATACCACCTCCTACTCCACCACCACCCAATCACCCAATCCATCCTGGACATATGGCCAGAGAGTCGATGCCACTCCTGCCGGAAAAGACTGGCTTGCAGGCGAATCTGCAGGCTGGAACGTCTACAGCACAGCAGAAATGGACAAGACGTACGTACTCCTGCACATGTTTATCAGCCGCGGTCGTGACCGTGATCGACAGCAATCTCAACAAGCTCTTGAATTCAGGCGTTTTACCGCGCCCCATGTCACTCATATCCACGATCAGCGAGGATGGGGTAGAGAACTTGGCACCCTTCAGGTAAGACACGCCTCCATAATCTGACACATTCTGCATGCTTACCTGACTTGCATCCACCAGTTGGTTCAACACAGTGAGCAATGCGACAAACAATGCATCCCTCTAATGGTGTACTAACATCTTCCCATAGGTCACGAACTACCCGCCTGTCATCTCATTCGCGATCAACCACAATGCTACAGGCAGCCTCAAAGACACTACCACGAACCTGAAGAACGGCCAAGGATTCTCTGTGAACGTCATCAGCGAGGCATTCGTCGAGAATGCAAATGCAACTGCTGTAGACGCTCCTCCCGAGTTCGACGAGTGGGCTCTCAGCGGTCTGACAAAGGAGAAATGCGTACGCGTGCACCTTCATCATTCGATATATGCGCTAACAGCGACGCGTTCAGGTGCAAATAAGAGCCTCGCGCGTCAAGGAAAGCGCTTTTAGCATGGAATGCGAGGTAATTTCATTTCACGCCTAGCCCGTTCGCCCGCTGACATCGTCGCCTCTCAATAGCTGTACAAATCGATCGATATCACTCACCCAGTCACAGGCGAGCACAACAGCACGCTCATCCTCGCGCACGTCAAGTACTTCCATGTGCGCAAAGACATGCTTACAAGCAGAAGCGCCGTCGACCTCACAAGGTTCAAGCCTGTCGCGCGTGTGGGCGATATCTCATATGCCCGGGTCGGGGATACGTACAGGATCCCTGTTCCATCATGGGCGAAGGAGGAGGCGGAAATTCAGGAAGCATTGAAGACTCTCGCATCACCATAAAATAGAACGAGGGTGGCTTATCATTTCTGGGGGACATATACCATAGATCATACAGATATCCGAGTCAGCATCCAGGCGAGATAGAGTTGCAAACACATGATGTGAATAATGATCGACTTAAAAACAGATCTACGAGGAAAACGTCCAATGAAAAGTATATTGACGATCAGAAGGCATCATAATATGGTACAACCTGTGCTTTACTGCTCAGCCTGTTATGCAAGATCAGTATTATAAGTAACGGCGATCGATACGATAATTACATCAGGTGTTTCACCAGACTTGACAGAATCTTGCGACATTCTGCTAGTGTTTATGGACTCGGATTCACACCCGCTGCCACATTGATCTTCTGAGTCATCCAAACTCGTGAAGTCTGGTAAGCGATCTCCATTGACGCAATCGCTAACGAGGGAATGAGCCATGCTGTCGACAAGATCAAGCTGTTTTTCTCCAACAGCGAGTGACGTTATGTCAGGGTTGTATGTGGACATGCAAAAGTGGAGGCGCTCATCGAGTTCACCCACATTCCCTTTAGCGAGCTCTTGGAGCGAGGTGTCCCAAGGTTCTGATGCAGCACTGGCATATGTGCTACCGTCGTCTTCAAGAACCATCGAAAGAAATCTTTTGTATTCTTCGATAGCTTGGATTTCCCAAGCTGTTGTCAGAGCACGCATGCGCCTCCATTCAATATCGGCGTGTTTCGTGATGACGGCTTGCGAAATTTCTTCAGAAGACAGGTGTTGCAATCGACTTTCGAGTAAAACCTTGCCCTGGCATGCTGCTTGATTATAAAAAAGCTGCGGGCATGCACCGCTTAACGTACCTTCTGAATGTCCGGTAAAGTTCTAGAATCAACGGGGGAAAGTTGGCTTGCAGCGTAGCGGCGCTGTGATGTGCTGGGGTCACGCCTCTCGTAGGGCTTGCGTTGTGCTTTCGCAGAATGCACATAACGAGACAAACTCCGGACTATGGGAGGAGCAATTGCAGGTGCATTTATGTCTTCATGGGATGAGTCATAGGGACCAGTGTCAGATAATGATAGTGATCTTGCACGGCGTGTGGGTGGTGAGGTGACAGTACGACGCGTATGATGAGTCGTGC